CCACTCTAACTCTTTATCTTTTTTGAGTTTTTCTATCAAAGGAATTTCTTTCCTTGATAGATCCTAAATAAAATTTCTCCCATAATTTAGAATTCCTAAAATACTTTGTAATTGTTTCTTTTCTCTTAAATCTTCAGAAAATTCTTTAATTTTTGAAATTATATGTTCCTAATCTTACTCCTTTATAGTCTAAAATTATTCCCAAAAATTCAATCGACTGTTTTTCTACCTCGATCTTTTTGAGTGAAAGAATAATCCATGTTTTTAGAATTTTTCACATTATTTTAAGATGCTTCCTATGTTTTTCTAAGATCATAGAGAACATTGAATGTCATCTATATATACTACACAAAAATGTTTAAGGTCTTTAAAGATTTTATCCATCTATCTTTGGAATATTTGTGGAGCATTACATAGACCAAATGGGGCATTACTATCCACTGGTAATGAGCTCCGGGAGCACTAAAGGTTCTACAAAATTGGCACTCTTTGATAAACAGAAGATTGCTAGATAGAAAAAACAATTTCCAGATATAAGATATATCCATATAGGGATGATACAAATAACTATTCCCGGTCTATTTAGACAAGGAATAGATACCCCTATCTTAGCTATAGTGTTAGATAAACGCTTTAGCAATCCATTGAAAGCAATGATAGGCAAAATTCAATCGAATTTGGTCTCAGATGTAGTTTGGTTTAATATCAAACCCAACTATTTTATTTCAATTGATAATCCGAATCTCAAAGATTCAGTAAGGTTTAGAATTCTTACCCAAAACATGGAAATGAAATCTAATTCTTATGATATGGCAATCCATTGGAAAACCCTCTATGAATTAACAAAGTTACCACAAACTTATACAAAGAATCTAAACAGAGAAATTATAAAAAAATTTTAACCACGAGCCTTTGATACTGCAATAAAACCTCGATTAACTAATTGGAAATATTTAGATATTCTAAGACAATGGATGATAACTAATTTAACTGAAGAACCATCAATAAGGATAGCAGATCCTATTGAAATGCAAGTTTCAAGTAAAAATATGTATTTCAGAGATAAAAATATGTATTTTAGAGATAAACGATCTCAAAGTACAAAATTAATAAAAACATGCTCAAATTGGATTCATAAAGATGTTTGGAAAAAATTCTCACAACTTGCTCTTAATGAACCATATAAAGAAGAGTTTGAAAAAAGATCAAACTCTGACCTTTTTGATTTAGATCTAGTTCAACTACTTGACCTATTTTATTTACAGACACTTCTACTTTCTCTAGATTATGATTTATATGTTCTAAATTTTTTTCTATACAATTTTGATTTATTATTTGATTTTTATTTAATTTTTTAATCCAACTACCTACCATATCACTAATACTATTTAAACTAGCACTAATATTACTTAGATTATTATCTAATTTTTTATCGATATGTAAAACATGATTATAATTTTCTTCCAATTTTCTTAAACTTCAAGTTACACATTCAATATGTTGATTATTATTGTTTACCATGGTAGACCGTTGATGTTACCTAAGACCTCCTATTATATTAAAGTTGTAGGTGCCTAAAACCAAATTCCCTAAAAGATCAACAATGGTAAAGCCTAGCCTTAACGGTCGAATACGGAATATGGGCTTTGCAACAATAACAGGTATACGTGTTTTTCAACAGGCAACAATGAAACAAGCAAAATAACCACACATAAAAATGTAAAGATTCAAATATATGAAATTTGAAATTTATTATAATGATATTTTATAGAAGGATAAAACTTACAAATGATAGAGCTAAACAAGGAGTTACCTTGCTCTGATACCAGTTAGAAGCGAAAAACTTTTAACAAGATTGAGGATCTTTTATAAGATGGAAAACTTTAAAGAGATTTAGGTAGATGTTATGACAAGTAGATAGATATATGTGTGTGTAGGTGTGTTACATGACTACGGAGAGTCTTGATTTATGGCAAGAGGTCTTCCAAAGGACAAAAAGTCCTTTTCTTCTTTTTCCTTACTTTTTGACTTAGTTGTCCACTAATACTGTAGCATTAGTCTCCAAAATTTGTGACGAGATAACTGATCATGAAAGAGAGACCAAAGCTAGGCACTGACTTCATTGTTCCCCTTTTGTTCAAGGTGCGGATTACATTTTCTTCCTTCGCAACGCTATCCACCCATGCAAGAGCGACAACTGCTTTGTAGTCAAGAGGAGCATATACATGCAATTACCTTGTTTAAGTTTAAGCAAGAGTCTCTTTTGAAGTTTAAGCAAGAGTCTCTTTTGTTTTCCTCCAATTAGCGAAGTTCCCCAGACTAGGGTTCTACCATGACGAAGAATGCATTCTAAAAAAGAAAGAGATAGGTCCGTGCGTGCAGCCATATAAGAAAGTACGCTTCCTCTTCTTTTGAATGCTAATATGCGGCTTTGTCCTACTTCCAAATTAACAAAGGGAGTTGGAGCCGAATTTTTGTTGTTCGGGAATATCTAAAAATCAACTAAGAACTTGAGCCACATAGGATAGATCTGGTCTAGTTAAAGTAAGATACAATGACCTCCCAATGAGGTGTCAATAGACAAAGGCATCAACTAGCTTTGTTCCTGTGGAGTTGTCTAATTTAAAGTGTTGTTCCATAGGTGAATTGGCTGGTCTGACACCAAGAAAACCATCATTCTAAAGTATTTCAAGAGCAAATTTTCTTTGACAAACTGAAATGCCCTTAGAAGATTGAGCTACCAGAAGTCCCAAAAAATACTTCAAGGTACCTAGATCTTTAGGATGACATTGCTCATGAAGAAAGTGTTTAAGATCAGCAGCAATAAAGGGATCATTAGTAGCAAATATGATATTATCAACATATACCAACATAGAAACAAAAGAAGTGGGAGTACTCTTAGTGAATAAGGAATAATCTACTTTTGGTTGAGTAAATCCAAGGCTCACAACTGAAGTAGATAACATGGAAAACCAATGACTTGATACCGGCTTCAAACCATATAGAGATTTGTTTAGGCGACACACGATGAGTTCCAGTTTTAGCAAAATCAATAGGCAAAGTCATATACACCTTTTCATCCAGATTTCCATGCAAAAATGCATTGTGAACATCTAATTGAAAAATGTGTCATCCCTATGTGGCTACAAGTGCTAGAAGATACCTAATTGTGGTGAATTTAGCTCCTAGAGAGAAAGTTTTCAAATAATCCAATCCTTCTCTTTGGGTGTAGCCCTTGGCAACAAGTCTTGTCTTATGTCTCTCAAGAGTACTATCTGCCTTGTATTTAATTTTGTAGACCCATTTACATCCAATGGTTGTTTTACCCAGTGTTATTTAAGGCATAAAGCGAACCCCAGCGCACCGATCTCCGACCTAGGTGAGTAGCAAAGCGAACACTTCATCGAAGCAAAGCGAACAATATAAAAAATAAACAAATATTTTAGTTTAATACTTTATTACTCCTAAATATTCAAGTTTTAACTTTACAAATACAAAATATTTAAATGCAACAAAAATAATAAACATCTACATATTTTAAATAGACAAGATATTAAATATTGAACATTATTGTATTTTAAAAATAATTAATTGACATAATCACGTCATCTAAATAGAAAGCTAGCAAATGTGGGTTCAATTCCTATCGTGATTGATTAATATCACCACTAAACAGAACACTCACAAATTGATTAATAAAATAGAGCATATGGTAAATTGATTAACCAAGCAAATTAATTAACAAGAGCATTCACCACAAAACAAAGTATTCAACATTATCTAATCATAATAAGACAGATTACCATATGATATTGTTAGATGAATCAATTAATTTATTTTATACATATACATATATAGCATNAATATTCAACATTATCTAATCATAACAAGACAGATTACCATATGATATTGTTAGATGAATCAATTAATTTATTTTATACATATACATATATAGCATCATCTCTGCTAAAGTTTAGTTGATGTTAACGAAGAAGAAGAAAAAGGAGGAGGAGGGGGAGGAGGAAANAGTATTCAACATTATCTAATCATAATAAGACAGATTACCATATGATATTGTTAGATGAATCAATTAATTTATTTTATACATATACATATATAGCATCATCTCTGCTAGAGTTTAGTTGATGTTAACGAAGAAGAAGAAAAAGGAGGAGGAGGGGGAGGAGGAAATAAAAAAATTTACAGTCAGGCCTTCACTTTTCTTGCCTATCTCGCTTCTTTGTTTTGTCACTTAGGCTCGCTTTTTCTTCATTTTACTTAACCTCGCTTCGCCTTGGTTGTTCAAGGTGACCAAGGCTCGTTTCGCTTCATTTCACCTTCGCTTCTAATCTAGGCTCGCTTTTCACAACACTGGTTTTACCAAGAAGTAAAGTAGTAATAGTCCAAGTGTTGTTAGATTCTAATGCCTGAATTTCAGCATTCACAGCCTCACACCATTAAGGGGACTTAACAGTTCTTTCATAGAACTGGGGTTCATGGTTAGAAGAAATGGAAACGCTATAGATTCTATGCGATGGAGAGAGTTTATTATAGGAAAGAAAAGTAGAAAAAGTGGTAATGCAGTGAGCTGTACCTGAGAGCTTAGGACGAGTAACTACTGAAGATGAGGGGGTGGTGATGCAGTAATGAGTTGACAATGGTAATCCTGCAAATATCCTGCCGGCTTTTTCACTCTATTAGATTGTCAGGAAAAGTAGGTATAGGAGGAATATGAGTATTTTCCGAAGAGGAGGAATGAAGAGGTACTGTGATAGATGAATCAGAGGAGGGTGCAAAAGAAAGATCAGTAGAAAGCATGAAATTACCTGGAAGAATATCTTCGGTAGGAGTGGGCAAAACTGGATAATCCTCGGGCAAATAAGATAATGGAAAATAATTATAATAAAATGGAAAGAGATGTTCAGGAAACACAACATCTTTGGACAAAAATACAGATTTTGTTTGTAAATCATACAATTTGTAAGCCTTAATAGCAGTGGCATCAATGAAAATACACTGTCTAGCCCTAGGATCAAACTTAGACCTTTTGTGAGAAAGAGTAGAGGCATAGCACAAACTACCAAAAACTTCCATAGGATTTTATTGTGGTTTACATGAAAACAAAAGTTCATAGGGAAATTTTCCACCAAGAAGAGGAGGAGGAATTCGATTGATGAGGTAAGCTGTTGTCAAAACACAATTTTCCCAAAAGGGAAGTGGAAGATTAGATTGAAATCTAAAGTCTCTAGCCACTTTCAAAAGATGTTGATGCTCTCTCTACCACTCTATTTTGCTGAGTGTCTGCACAACTGTGTTAATGAACAACACCTTGAGAAGAGAAAAAGAAAACCATATCAAACTCTAGTCCATTATCTGATCTAACAATTGAAATTTTTCTGTTGAACTGATTTTTAACCAAAGCAAAGAATTATTGAATCAATGGCCTTGTTTCTGACTTGGATTTCATTAAAAATACCCAAATACATCTGGTAAAATCATCCACAATGGTTAGAAAATATTGAGTAAATAAAGGACCCCATATGTCACAATCACAATGTATCAATCCAAAGGGAACAATTGAAGTAGTATTACTGAGTGGAAAAGCTAGTCGATTCTGAGTTTGTACAAAAGTTAAACATTCAATCAAAAAACCCAAAAACAAAAAATTAAGCATATTTAATTTAATAAAAGATCAGGCCCTAAAACCCACCCGAATTCGCATCAATCAAAACAAAACTCATATAAGCAAATTCATATGCCTAAACAGATAATATATATGGATCCAAATGATCTAATGTGTATACCTGGCTGAACTTGAGGGCATGTTGTTCGCCGGCGAGTTGGAGGTTACCGGAAACGAAGACAAGCATGCCGCCAGCGGGGCCAGATGGCTGGCAATCGACGGTGGTGATGCTGTGCTGGCACTGCTGGAAGGGAAGACTGGTGAGCTTAGCCACGATGTTCGGTGAGCCTTGGATCTTCTGACCTTCGAAGGTCAACATCGACGCCTCCTGGTAGAGGTTCGCCAATCCCGCTCTGTTCGAATCGAACGTCGTGTAGTAGTGCTCCACGAACGCCTTTGCCAACGCGTCTGGATCCATCACGGGCGCACCGGATTACTACTCTGTCTGCTGACTATATTTGCCTTAGGATTTACGCTGGAGAGAGAGAGAGAGAGAGACAGCGACGAGGAGAGCGGGGGAGAGTATCGAGAGCCTGAGATTGTCTAGGGGTGGCCACCCGGCCCATCCCAGAATATTTAGGATCTGGGCTAATTCCGGTGGTTGGGAGGGGCAAGGTGAGCTGTATGGGCCCAGCCCGTAACAAGTTTTTTTTTTAAGCTTAAGGAGGCCGTACCTCCTAAGAACTTAATCTATATCTATATTATTACTTATGTGTGAAAAATTTTTGATTTTTTATTTCACCCCTAATTATTACCTTAAAAGCAATTATGCCCACAAAATAATAGCTAGATAAATTTATCTCTATGACTTCCAAATTTTTAGCTAGATAAACCTTATCACTAANTGAAGCTTAAGGAGGCCGTACCTCCTAAGAACTTAATCTATATCTATATTATTACTTATAAATGCCAGTATGTGTGAAAAATTTTTGATTTTTTATTTCACCCCTAATTATTACCTTAAAAGCAATTATGCCCACAAAATAATAGCTAGATAAATTTATCTCTATGACTTCCAAATTTTTAGCTAGATAAACCTTATCACTAATATTCCAAAATTAAAAAATTTTTGATTTTCTATTTTGCCCCTAATTTTTACCTTAAAATAAATTATGCCCATAAAATAATAGCTAGATAAATTTATCTCTATGACTTCCAAATTTTTTGCTAGATAAACTTTATCACTAATATTCCAAAATTTTTGTTAGATAAACATTATCGCTATGACTTACTAGTAAATTATTCTTTTTCATTCAATTGGCAAACTCAACTAAAAATCTAATACCGTGGGAAAAATTTGCTATTTTTTAGGTGATAAAAACAACCATAAAAAATCTATTATTCATTGGTATATAATAAAATATTAGAAGAGTAAAGAGTAAAAAACATATATTTTTCTTTATTTCATACATGTTAGAGTTTTGAAATATATTATGGCTGTGCAGATTGTTGGGTCAACGGTGCTTGGTGTCGTCAACGTATAAACTTTTGTTTTCTCTGTTAGAACATGCTTATTGCTGATATGGTATTTTCTTTACTTTGTTTTCCATCTGTTTGGGTATGACCATTGCATAAATGATGTGTCTACCTTGCAATAGTTTTTGGAATTTGAACTAAAATTGGTTTGTGTTTAATTGAATTAGTGTTTCCATCAAAGTGATACTAAACGCCCAAAAAAAAAAGGTACTTTTATGGAATGAAGATCTTAATCTGTGTTGGAGATTAAACTACTCTCCTAATATTTAATTGTTTATTATTAGTAGGCTTATAGTGTTTTAGGAGTTGTTATTATATTATGAGTAGAATTAGTTTGTTACCATACTTATTGAATTCATGAGGTGGTAGAATAGTTTTAGATTAGTAAATTATATTTAAGAATTTTCTTGGTCTTGTGTTGTAATGCCAAAAAGTCTTATTGGATTTAATAAGCCATTGAATGCATATAGTAGTAGCCTTTTGTTTCATCATCTTCATATTTCTAAAAAATATAATCAAAATTTTATGATCTAATTTTTTTTGCATGCAACGCACGTGTGCATTACTAGTAGAATAAAAGTACATTTTTTAAAATAATTGGGATATAAGTACATCTATTAAAAAGAAGTCATATATATATATATATACACACACACACACACATATATATGTATATGTATATGTATATATATAATAATATTAAATAGTAACGTGCTCAACAAAAAAATAGTAATATCAAACAATAATACGCTCAACAAAAAAATAGTAACATCAAATAGTAACACACTCAACAAAAAATAGTAAACCTCAAACAGTAACATTTATATATACACACACATGCGCGTACATACACACGCAAACACACACACACACACGCGTACATACACACGCACACACACACACGCGTACATACACACGCACACACACACACACACACACACACACACACACATATATATATATATATATATATATATATATAATATTAAATAGTAACACTCTCAACAAAAAAATAGTAACATCAAACAGTAACACGTTCAACAAAAAAATAATAACATCAAACAGTAATACACTCAATAAAAAAATAGTAACATCAAACAACAGCGTACTCAATAAAAAACTTAATTAAAAATTTAATATTTGATGTTACTATTTTTTTGTTGACCTTGTTAGAAATATAAAAACTGTCAATTAGATATGCACTATTTATGGTAGGGATAATTATGGAATACATTTTTAAAAAAATTTGAAAATATTTTAAAATGTGTATTTATTGACAACTATCTGATGAAAAAGAGAACTTAAAGGATGATAAGTTTGGAGGTGGTACTTAAAGCCAAATAAGTTTTTAAAAAGGTATCTACATCTCATTATCTCTTTCATTTTCTCATTGGTCCAACGCCAAGAAGATTGCCCAAGGACTGGGCCAAATTATATGGCACGACACTCAGATGGGCCCTAAAATGGTATTTTAACGTGAAAATTGACCAAGGATACACCTATAATTATTTATTTATCTATATCTATGGTGGTGTTTGATAATACTGAAAGTTGAACACTGAAAACTGAATATTAAATTTTAAGTGTTGGATGCTAAATTTTTTAATTCGCAGACTGTTTGGTATTAATTGAAATTTAAGTAGTGAATTTAATTAAATTATTTGACAAATATAAAGAGCTGCAGTTTGAAAATTATTATTATTTTACTTTTACTCCTCTCTTTAACCGTCTCTTCGCAACTGCTTTATTTCTATTACCACCATCACAATAGTGGTAGTAGTGGTGGCGGCGACGATGGTGGTAGTGGCAACAACATAATGGTGGTGGTGACATAATAGTGGTGATGGCGACAATGGTGGCAGCGGTGGCGACGGTGGCACAATGATAGTGGTGACGACAACGATGGTGGTAATGATTGTGGTGGTGGCGGCAAGACTATGGTAGTGGTGATGGCGGCGACACAATGGTAGTGGTGGTAGTGACAATGACAATGACAGTGGTGGTGGCAGTGGCAGTGGCACAATGGTGATGATAACAATGATATAATGGTAGTGGTGATGATAGCAATATAATGGTGGTGACGGTGGTGGTGATGGTGATTGTGGTGGTGGTGGCAACATTGATGGTCGTGGCGCGCGGCGGTGGTGGTGGTGGTAATGGTGATGGTGGTAATGATAGTGGTAGTGGTGGTAGTGGCACAATGGTGGTGGTGGTGGTGGTGGCGGCGACAATGTTGGTGGTGGTAGTGGTGACACAATAGTGGTGGTGAAGGTGACATAATGGTAGTGATGGCGACGACAACACAATGATGATGACGATGGTGGCGGTGGAGACAATGGTGGTGGTAATGGTGACAATAATGGTGATATTGGCGGCGGTGACACAATAGTAGTGGCGACAATGGTGGTAGTATTGGCGACAGTGGTGGTGATGGTGATGGTGGCGGTGGTACAATGGTGGTGTTCGTGGGATAGTGTTGGTAATGGTGGCGATGACACAATGGTGGTGAGAGTATATATTGTCCATTATGAAAAATTGATAAAATCCTTACGGACTAACATTTTCAGCATTAAGTAACAAATAGGCAGCTTGCTACTTAAAATTTTAGCCTATTTTTAATAAGTGCTTAGAATATTCAATAGTATAAATTTAGGGTTATCAAATGGGTTTACTTTATTAAGTGCAAATTGCTTTAAGTGGTGTTATCAAATTGCTTCTATATCTATATCTATCTATATAATAAAGTACAATACAATTCAAATCTCAAAAGATAAAAATAATGACTTTTGTTTTTTGCGGTTGAGATCTTTAAAAAAAGTAGGTAATAAAGGCTCATAAAGATGTGTTTGGGGTGAATTTTAAAGGTGTTTTAAGACTTATAACTTCTCATAGATACTTTAAAAAAAGTAGCGTTTGAAACCGCCTCACCACCACCGCTACCGCCACCCCACCACCACCATCACTACTACCACCGCCCCCACCTCCCTAACACCGTTGTTGCCACCCTATCACCACCACCACTACTATCGTCACCCCTATCACCACCACCATCACCATCACCACCACCCTATCGCTCCACCACCATCCCCACTACCACCACCATTATCACCATCCCCCACCACCGCTGCCACTGTCCCACCATCACCCCTACCCTCACCACTATCACCATTACCACCATAAACCACTACCACCACCCAACCATCACCACCACGCCACCCCCCGACCACCACCACCACCATCGTCACCCACCACCGATTGTTATCACCGTCATTTATTGTCATCACCCACCATTATCATCATCTCATTCTTATATTTATCACTACTACCACTATCATCCTACTACCACCGTTAGCACCCACCACCACCACCCACTGCCACCTATTACCACAATCGACCACCATCANGGCGGTGGTACAATGGTGGTGTTCGTGGGATAGTGTTGGTAATGGTGGCGATGACACAATGGTGGTGAGAGTATATATTGTCCATTATGAAAAATTGATAAAATCCTTACGGACTAACATTTTCAGCATTAAGTAACAAATAGGCAGCTTGCTACTTAAAATTTTAGCCTATTTTTAATAAGTGCTTAGAATATTCAATAGTATAAATTTAGGGTTATCAAATGGGTTTACTTTATTAAGTGCAAATTGCTTTAAGTGGTGTTATCAAATTGCTTCTATATCTATATCTATCTATATAATAAAGTACAATACAATTCAAATCTCAAAAGATAAAAATAATGACTTTTGTTTTTTGTGGTTGAGATCTTTAAAAAAAGTAGGTAATAAAGGCTCATAAAGATGTGTTTGGGGTGATTTTAAAGGTGTTTTAAGACTTATAACTTCTCATAGATACTTTAAAAAAAGTAGCGTTTGAAACCGCCTCACCACCACTGCTACCGCCACCCCACCACCACCATCACTACTACCACCGCCCCCA